CCTGCTTCTAAGCTGTTTAGGTATCTATTCATTGTGTCTCCTTAAAATTTTCTTCTAGAGCTCTAAGGGACCTTGGCAGAGAAGGCAAACATTAGCAGGGCCTCATTATCAAGTAATGTGTTGCTAAGTATAAGACAAATTAAAACTTAAAACTGTCTGATTTCCTGTCATGTGGCACATTACTGAGCAAGAAACCAAGGTCAATTCTTGCAGTGCTATTCTTCACATACAAAAAGGAAGCATTTGTACAAGACTTGTATGTTAGCTTCTTTTCCAATGTTAATGATGGTTTTGCATAAAACAATACTATTTTTATCAGTTATCTCTCCCATTGGCTACTGAGATATTTGTAATAGGGCAGTCATAACCAACAGAACCTAAGGTCATGAAATAAGATACTTCTTGCAGCTTTTGAGCCATATCTGAATGTTTCATTCTTGCCCAGGGCGGCTCTGTGTATCTATTGAGATTATCAAGGTAAGAGCTCAAAGCAGGAAGAAAAGTGTATCTATCCCTCCATGGAGAGGCATTTCTTTGATGTTACTTAGGTGTCTGAATTATACCTTTTGAGAATGTACTTAAAATGGAACTGGAAAATAACTGCAAGAACAATGAACAATAAGAGGGATGAATCTGTATTCATTCGATTTAACCAATGAATGGGGTTTCAAAATCTTTTTTTTTTGCTTAAATTCTTTTATTGGTACATTTTAGGTATACAATACATTTACATTTATCATTGGGTGCTTGTACCTGTACATGATGTATCTTGGTTCTTATTTTTCCCCCATTCCCTGTGCTCCCTTCCCTATTTACAAAGACTTTGTTTCCATTTTTTCCTTTTTTCATAATTTTTCCTTTCCCTTATTTCCTTTCCCCTTCCCCTGCCACTTCCCCTATCCCTTTGGACCTTTTCTTGCTATTTCAAATTATCAATTATTCATTTTAATCATTTTAATCCTTATTTACACTTTCAGTTTCTCACACTAGAGAAACTATTCTGTATTGACACATGTGTCCTATTTATTCCACTTAAGAGTATGGCCTCAATATGTATCCATTTAGTTATAAATGTCTCTAGTTTCTCATTCTTTATCGCTGAGTAGTACTCCATTTTATTAAAAAAAACCCCACATCTTCTTTATCCAGTTTCCAGTTGATAGGGACTTGGGCTGTTTCCAAGCTTTAGCTATTACAAGCTGTGCCGCTATAAACATGGGTGCACATATATCGCTGTGGTATGATTCTTTTAATTCTTTGGGGAAGATACCCAGCAGGGGAATACCTGGGTCAAATGGGACCTCTAGCCCTAGGTCTTTGAGGTACCTCCATACTGATTTCCACAGTGGTTGCACCAGTCTGCACTCCCACCAATAATGGAGAAGGGTTACTTTCTCCCCACACCCCTGCCAGCATTTACTATTGGTTGATTTTTTTGATAGCAGCCATTCTTTCTGGAGTTAGGTGGAATCTCAGTGTTGTTTTCATTTGCATCTCTCGATGTTGAACATTTTTTCATATGTTTATTTGCTGCTTTTACTTCTTTGTCTGAGAAATGTCTATTCATTCAGATGCCCATTTTTGAATTGGGTCTTTGAATCAAAATCTTTTTTTTAAAAAAAACAAAGTTAGGTTTCCTCCCTTTAAATACATATGCATCTATATGGCTTAACACTATAATGTCTCACTAAACTCTCACACATTGAGAGGTGGGGCTTTTGGAAGGTGATTGGATCATGGGAGCTCTGTCCACACCAGGGGACTCATCCAATTATAAGCCTAACTCTTGGATGTGTTATTAGGGAATGGGGTTTGGTTATAGCAAGTCACTGAGGGTGTGAATGGGAAGGGTGTATCTCCCTCCCTGATTTCTCCCCGCTTTCTGTCTGCCATGACACAGGCAGTTTTCTTCTGTGCCAAGCTCTTCCTCCTTGCTCTTTCTGTGGTTGAGCCAGCCAACCATGGACTGAAACTTCTGAAATATGAGCCCAAACAAACCTCTCCTCTTTTAAGTTTTAGATGTCAGGTATTTTGTCACAGCAATGACAAAATGACTAAGATACCATCCAAAAGGAAGACTATACATGTGAGTAAACAAACCCCCTCCCCAGAGGTCAGCTCACAATCCAGAGAGTGACTTTACCCCTTTCTACCTCATTTTCCAATTTTTTGTCATTTTCAAAGTTATACTTGTTTGTGCCAAGCAGGGCTTGCGCAACAATGCAAGAGTCCATGGAAAGTCACCAGAGGGCTGGGGATATAGCTCAGTGGCACTGCGCCTGCCTCGAGAACGCAAGGTCCTGAGTTCGATCCTTGGTACCAAAAAAAAAGTGAAAAGGTATTAGTGCACAGTTTTGTGTTCCTGAGCAAAGAACCTCCTGGCATAGGGAGGCCCTGAACAGCAGTGTTTTCTCTTCATTTCACTCAGAAGTTGAAGCCCAGGGACAAGATGGCCTTCAAAAGGGAATCATGTTGTGCTGCCTTTGTAGCTCTAAACAATAACAGTGCCAGAGCCTCAGAGATAAATCCACTGGTCATCCTTCAAACTTGATACACAAAGTATCTTGTGCAGTGGCCACTTTTCGGTGGATCATGGCCACACAGGTTCTCCCTCACTGGAGAGCAAAAGCCCACTATTCATAAGGAAAAGAGGCCAGACTGTCCCTTGTCTGTATTGAGATTTTTACCTTGACTGAACCCTTTTAGTTCTGCCTGAAAGTCCCCGCTTTCTAGAAGGATAAATCCATGTCTTGATGCACAGGTGCAGATAGTCAGGGGACAGTTAGCAGTGACAGATTGTGAGCTTTCTGGGCTCTGTGGGAGGGGAAGGAGGAAGGGCTGTGTCCAAAGTAAGCAGCCAGTAGCCAGATTACACAAATACTCCAAGGATCAAGCATAGTCCTTATTGCTGGGGAAGTAGCTCAGAGGTTCCCTCGCCTGCCTCGAAAGCTCAAGGTCCCGAGTTCAATCCCTGGCACCAAAAAAAAACAAAAACAAAAACAGAAAAGAAAAAAAATTAATTCATGTAAGCATAGTGCATATGCTTTCCCATTTATAAATAATAGGATAATAGTAATGAGCCATATTTACTTTAGTTTTAAGAATTTAGATTCTGAATTCTACTAATCTTAGGCGCCCCCCCCGCCCATCTTCCTCCTCTCTCTTCTTTCTCCCACCTCAATATGATGCTACATGCTAGGTGCTCAAAATACATGTATTTATCAGTCAAATAAATAAATGGAGAAAATATGTGCCCTTCCACAAATGATTTTATGCTTTTGATCTACTTTTCACCAGTGATGGGGGAGGAGGATAATGTTATTTTTCAAGTTTGTTCACAAGATGCAGCAATATAGCATAATTTTATACAATGTGTAAAATGTCACAAAATGGTGTGCTTCAAGGTGCTAACACAATTTAAATTTGCAGATATGTTTCATACAACGGAAGTATTGTGTGATGAGTTAGCTCAAACACATTGAGCTAAGCCTTACGATAAAAGATAGCAAGGACTACAAACATGTATTCATAAGAAAAAGAGCAAAGAATGGTAGGAGGTGAGAAAAGAAAAGACCAAGTGGGAGTTAGGGGTATAATGACTTCTTTTCAGGTCAGTTGAATTATTTCATGAGGGCTAACTTTTCTTTTCAGAAAAATCTTTAAGTCACTGGGTGCCCCTCATCTCCAAAAAACACAGGAAGGTTGTAATGAGAAGCAAGCAGAAGGTTAACGAGAGTTCCCTTCTGCCTGGAGCAGCTCCCATGCACTACGCAGTAATACGCGGCGGCCACATATTTCATCCCAACTTCCTCTGTGGTCCTTTTATATTAAAGCCTTTCACTGTTGCAGGGCTGTGCTCGGAAAAGTTGGGAAACTTTTTCCTTGATGGAGAAAAAGAAGCCCTCATCAGACGCAATCCAACAAATGAATGAAGCAATTCTCTTGGTGCAACACCTCCATCCACTTGGATAGTAAATATTCATAGAAATACTTTTTCTCAATCCCATGGCTAGGATTTTACTGCCCCGTGGTGCTGCCTCATATCAGATGCGCCGATTTCGAAAGTCGGCAGGCGACAGATCTGGCTTTGGAGCCATTGTGGTTGGCTCTCGTAAGAGTCGTGGGCTTACTGTCCAGTGTGTAGCTGGTCCCCGAGGTAGAATGTGTCAAATAAACAGTTGCTGAAAAGCATGAAGAATTAACGAAGTGAAAATCTCGGCAATTGACAGTGACTTCCTTAAACGCTTAGTTTCTTAAGGACTTTTAGGGCAAGGATGAATGAATGTTCGTGGCGTTTAACTCGCACCAGCGAGTGTAAATCTGTGTAGTCTGTGGGGAAGTGGCGGTGTAATAGCACAAATCCGCTGCGAGGAGAGGAAAAGAGGTAATACCACGACTCCAGGGCGCTCTCGCTCTGGTCTTGGTGAAGATTCGCCTCCCCAGCCCGGGACCCTCGAGGTTACAGCTGAGAGAAGCAGGAGGCGCTAGGACCTGGCTGGCGCCTGGCTGCGGCCGCACTTGGAAGGGCGGAGGAGGAGGGGACGTGGGAAGGAGGGGTGTCGGGGGCGGGGGAGTCATTTATGCGGAGCGGGCGCTGCTGCCGTTGCCACTCGCACAGCCCGCGCGCCGCGCGCCGCCGGAGGGAGCGCAAGGAGCAGGCGAGCCGGCGCTCCGAGCCCGGGCCAGCCGAGAGGACGCGCGGCTGCTGCCTGCACCGCCCCCGCGCGTCGCTTCTGCGGCTCCCCTGGGCCCAGGGAGGAGCACGGCGAGTCGGAGAGTCCGGTAGCTGAGCCCGCTGGACCCAACTGCGGAGGGAGCCAGCCCCACGCCGCCGCGGCGTGCGCCCGAGCCGGGAGCGCTCGCTGACCGCCCCGCGGGTCGGAGAGCGGGGAGCGCAGGTCTCCGCGGACCCCGGCATGGTCTAGGGCCGGCCAGAGGTCCGCCGCTCTGCTGCCTGCTGGGGCTCGCCGCCTGCTGCGGATCGCCCAGGGCTGCGAGCCGCGGGGCGCGCCGGGGCGGCCCAGGCCGGAGAAGTTAGTTGTGTGCGCCGCGGAGTGCGCGGAGCCAGCCAGCCAGCTACGCAGCCCGCGAGGCGCCGGGAGCATGGGCTGGGGGAGCCGCTGCTGCTGCCCGGGACGGCTGGACCTGCTGTGCGTGCTGGCGCTGCTCTGGGGCTGCCTGCTCCCGGTGTGCCGGACGCGTGTCTACACCAACCACTGGGCGGTCAAGATCGCCGGCGGCTTCCCGGAGGCCGACCGAATCGCCAGCAAGTACGGCTTCATCAACATAGGACAGGTAAGGACGCCAGGCTGACCGGGCCTTCTGTCGGGGAGCTGCTGGGGGCTGCTGGTCCCCTCCGTTGCGACCCCCCTCCCCCTCTTCCAGATGTGCTCCTGCAGCTGTTGTCCTAACTCTTGGGCGATGCTCTATGGCTTGCGCGCGCTCACACACACAGAAACACGTACACCAAAGTTCCCAGGATTCCGTTTTGTTTACTTATTTATTTTTTTCTGGAAGCTACGCGGGACAGGTAGAGTCTCTGGAAAGACCCAGAGTGCCCCCGTGGTGTTTCAGACTCGACCGGACCTTTTGACCTGGAAGTCTAGGAGCATTGGTAGCTCAAGGAAAGAGTCTTAGCTGGTGGCCGGGTGTGAGGAAGGTATTGAGCTCTTTGTGGGATTTAGGGGGCTAGCGCGCCCCTCGTGTTTGCGGGGTCAGAAAAGCCTTTCCCGTTCCGATATGCATTCACCTCAGAAGGAAGTTTCCTCTCCTGGGGCCGGAGAACCGCTAGGCTGTGGAGACCGTGGATTCCCCGGACTGATATGGAGGTGGGGGGCGGGACCCCTTGGAGGCGCAGATTTAGGGGAGACCTCGCGCTTACTCGCCTTGCGCGTGATCCGCGTGGGGTCCTGGGGGCGGGGATTGGACGGGGAAATAGGAAGCTTCTGAACCCGTTATCCCTGCTCAGTGAAACAGGGGAAACCTTGCTTGGGGTGGAAGGGGCAGTGGTGCCAGAGTTGGGTGGCTTCCAGGGGCGCGGGCTTTTTTTGGCGGCGGCGTGCAGCTTGTGGACTTTCGGCAGAGTCGTCGTGCCTGGGGATGAATACCAATAAATGGAGGGGGGCTGTTGGCAGTGCAGCAGACTTGGGGGTAGTACGGGCTAAAGTGTCTTGGCTTCCTTGCTCTCTTCCCGCACGACTCTGCGAGAAATGGGGGCGGAGAAGGGGGTTCCCGAAGATGCCCCTCCTTCAGGCGTCTCTGGGACTGGGCCGAGGAGGGGCCGTGGCCCTGCTCAGACGCGACTCCGCTGGGGCGGGAAACAAGAGTAATGGGGTTGGGCGCCCTTCCAACGGACGCGCTTTTGGGATTGCTCCCGGCAGGCGTATGCACCCTACGTGCTCTGCCAGAGCGAAGGGAGAGGAAGGTGTCGTTTGGTACTGCTGCAGCGAAAGCACAGATGGTTTCTGATGCCAGTGCGCTCCTATCCAGAAAGGCGGGACCCCCACCCCCACCCTTGGCCACCTGGGGTGGGGGGAGCGGTCCCGAGCGAGCGCGAAGAGCCCAAGCTTCGGGTCTCTCCCTCTGGAAAAAACTGGCGATCGCCGGAGGGCTCAGAGGAGCAGGAGCGCGAGGTCTTGCTCTTTGCCCTCCCAGGAAGAGGACACGGTCCAGAGAAACTAGTCCTGTGGGGGACCGAGACCAGAGCAAGGCCCGCAGTTGTTCCCGCTTCCCCCAAGGAAATAAAGGAATACAGCCAGATTTTGTTGCCTGGGTCCTTGTCAGCTGTACAAGAGTTGCTTTCCAAATGGCCTCTTGGGTTTTTTTGTGTGTGTGGAAGAAAAACACCAGACCTGCTCAGGCCTTTTTTAAACCAGAGGTTAAAGTTGAGCGCCACATGTATCTAGGTGATGTAAATGTGAAGGATAATTCTGCAAGTACAGTAATCCCATTAATCTTGCTAGACTCTTTTCTCAGGTTGAGCTGACCCTGAGCATCTTCCAAATGCCAGGCGTATTTGGAAGGGTAAGTTTTCTCTTCCTTCTTAGTTGTAAAACTGACCTTGTTTGGTGAATATTCACATACAGCAGGTGAGGAAAACAGGACCGGTGGGAAGCTGACCTCATGGGATCATCCAGCTAGACAGTGGCAAAGATGTGCTCCCTACCTGCTACTCTGGGCCAAGCCCGTTCTCCGTGGGGCTTGCCTTTATGGAATCCCTCTACTCCATGTGGGGAAGGAGGGAAAGAAATAAAAGCCTGTTTCTTTGAATCTTAGTGGCCCAGTAGACTGGAAACAAACACCAGTCAATACATATTTAGCCGAAACTTTGTGACTTGCAAGGGCGGAGGCACCCCTGTCCTCCTGATCTAGAACGTAGATAGGTAGCAGAGGCATCCTGAGGGTGAGAAATTGTCACCCACCCACTTTTGAGCCAGTAGACATTGCAGTGTCCTTCAGCTTCACCTGACCTAGTAATGGCCTTATAATGAAGACCCATGGTTTTGCATTTAAAAAGTAACACTTAGAAAGTTTACATACAAATTACTAATACTGTTTATTGTGGTTTTTACAACCTCAAATGAGGAAATTAGTTTTACTGAAGTTACAGAGGACCCCTTGAATTGATGCCACAACCACCGTATAAAATCAGCTATTCTGTAGTGTAAAGTGTTTCCTCTGTTGATCAAAGGAGCATAAGCTTATGCAAAGCTTTTGAGGTGGTAAATTGAGTTCATGCGTGCAATATTATTGCACTGTTAGGGCCAAATTTATTTCTTATTCATCCTTTACTGCACTGACCTTTTAACACTTTAGAAATCCTTTTGTTATTCTTCCTTTCCATCAATAAAGCAGCTGTGTGTTTCAGCTGAGGGCAGTAACTAATTTGCAAACATCTCTGGAATGTTCTGTTTTTCACCATTTGGGATTGGGGTCTCATGTGTTGCAAGTTGGGACTAAAACCTGTTTTTATTTCATTTACTATCCTGGTTGAATTTTTGGTATCTTCAGCATGATATTCTAAGTGAATAAGGTAGTGAATTTTCACACTAGTAAAGATGCAGTTTTGATGGTTTATTCAGAATAACAATGTAGTGTTTTGTGTAGCATCTTAGCATTTAAAAGACTGCAGAGGTAAAAATTTCTGGCCTGGGAATTTCTACAGAAAAGAATAGGTGTACTAATGTTCACCAAAAGATAAGGTGTGCAGAGTAACACATGAAGCAATCAAGCAAACAAGGAAAAAGGATGTGCTTGACTTCTAGAAAGGAACAATTGTTAGGGTTTCCTTGCCCCTGGTATAGGGATAGCATTAAGTTTTGGTAGGTTTTCACAAAATGCTTACCTTTTGTAAATAGCTGTGCCTTGAAATTCTGAAGTGATACCTAACCGTAATCATTGCAGTAGTTGTTATTATGCCAGTACAGAGCAGATTGTGCTTGGTAATGATACCAGCTTTACAGTGTCCTGCTCTTCTTCCCCTGTGAGCTCTGCCAGGCTCTTAGTATCCAGTACAACCAGCACTTGCTGGTCTTGCTGAGGGTAAGAGGTGTGTGTGCGCATTATCCTGCATGGGTAAGGAGGAAGAGGCCTCTGTCCTTTCTCCCTAATCTTGTTCTTTGACCCTTTGAGCTAGCAGAATGCTGGTTAGAACATTGAAATGACTTAAAAGATCAAGACCAGACATATTGTTAATTGTAGACAGCAGTTTCAACTAAATCTACAACAAGGAATGAATTTCTGGTTATTTGAATCCAGGGAGAACCTGTGAACAGATGGTTTGCAGTGTCTCTAGCTGTATTAATCCTTCTATGAGTTGCCCATAATCCTTGATTCCAAGCCTAGGATTATCAGTACAAGGCCCCTTCCCCAAACTATGTAACATATCTTGAAAAAGACTCCAGAAGGCTAACACCAGATGCAGGCCACACTGAAGAAATGTTTTCTCTGGAGCCCCAATGGACAGCATGTGGATTTGGGAACTGCAAAGACCACTTGCCAGACTGTGAAAGCAGGAAAGTCACTGAACTTAATGGAGCCCCTGTTCCTTCAGCTGTAAAATGATAAATCTCTGGATAATAGAGTGAATTCACTATGCATTGCTCAGGACATATTTAGGGATGCAATAAAAGGTTTGTTGAATCTGAAGCAGAGGAGAAAGGTTGAAATAAATTTGGAGTTTGCTGTGGAGTAATGAAGACATTTTGAAAATGGAAGATGCAAATTGTAAGGATCAGCAAAAGTTTTGTAGATGGGGAAATTGATTTCCTATTTCAACAAACAATTTAAAAATAGTTTCATGCGCATTTCCAAACAATTATGGCTGATTTCCCACAGCAGTGTCTCTTTTCTTCATTGACTCTTGTTGTACCCCGTTAAATATTATAGGGTAAGTTTGTTGGAAGTCAAAGAAAGAGAAGAAAAAGTTTTTGTTGTTGTTGTTGTTTTTGGTACCGGGGATTGAACTCGGGTCCTAGCGCTTGTGCAGCAGGCAACGAAACCACTGAGCTAAATGCCCGGCCCTAGAAGAAAAAGTTTTGAGTGTAGTTTATATGAATAAAGTCAGAAGAATCTTCAGAGCAAGTAAAGAGAGATACTTGAGCAGAAAGAACCTTGTGCAGAGTTATTCTGAAGACATCTGGTTCTGCTGATTAGCTTGGACCCATGGTTAGTGCAGTATGTAGGCTGAGGAACAGTAAGCAGTGCATTGTGGGTACTTATGGATGGGACTAGAACAGGGTATACAGCCCTAGTCTGATAGCTTGTGTGGAGGCAGCCGTGCTCGCCTGGTAAATTCCTAGGCATGTTGTAAAGAGGAGAGGAAACTGAGGCTGTAATCCCAGGTTGCTCCCTGGGATACATCTGGCTTTGCCCAGGCTGGCTCTTCATGCCCAAGAACCTCAGCCCTGACCTTGGCCAGGTGCCCTCACAGGCCTGTTTCTCCTGGCTAGGTCAGTGGAGGGAGAACAGGGGAACCTTGACTGGAAAAGCCATTCAGAGTGCATGGCCTGCCAGCAGAGGGTCAGTGTGTTAACCTCATAGACCAGGAATGGTTTGGATGTGACCCTTGGGGATTTGTGGGGTCCACTTGAAACACTACATTTTTCATGAGCCCCAGAGCAGCTGGATTTGTCTTATCACTATTCGTCATGGGCTTTCGTCCAGAGGTTTTAACCCAAAAGGTCAGCCAGAGAAGCAGGGTAGTATGCCGGGAAAATGTCCAGCTGTGTCTGACTCTGGCTCAGAGAGGGAGTCCTGACCCAGCAGTATGCCAGGCCAGGGAGGAGCATTTTTGC